AAGTGTCCACGTCGTTCTTCTCTGGTGGTTGGCCTGGTACTGGGACTGGGAACATGAAGGCCAAGCAATGTGGTTTGGGCGAACTCGTGACAAGACGTGCGTACACGTAGCGTAGAACATTACATTAACATGCGATTAGTCATAGTTTCTTTGCTTACTAGATATCTCGTAGCAAAATAGAACTGACAATGAGTTATCTTGAACTACACTTAAGTAAATTTCCAAGAAAATGCCTAAAGGCTTTAAACTTTGCGACACCCCAATCGTGGCGCCGTGGCACCCTAAGGTGCCGCGGCACCCCGGTTGAAAAACACTGCATTATACAGTACAAGTCGATATTACTACATACAGTAGAATAATCTTATATTCACGATAACAGATCCGATGAAACGAGGTAAAAATACATTGATTTGGCATATGCACCTGGGGAAAATATCTGTAGTTCGCGGATACTATATAGCTGAATAACGTTAGAACGGATTTCGGTAATGGACATGGAGAAAATCTGCAGTTCGCGGATATTTACTCCATGTCCATTACCGAAATCCGTTCTAACGTGATTCTGCTATATAGTAATGGCCTTTTCCATATAACGGATGAATCCGTAATAACGAGTAATCACGATAAAACGGACTTTATTGTAACGGATCAATTTCTTTAGTCCTGTGATGGTCCGTTATATCGCGAAAGGATTTTAAAATTTTGTTTCAACTTTCATTTAATTTTTTATTTTTTAAAAAATAATATATAATTAACGAGCAATTATTTATTGCGACATTGTCAAAATGCCAGACTGCAAGTTTTAATCAATCGTATTTTTAATTTATTTAATTTCAAGTATATGATCTCCACCTCATATTAGTAGTGGCTTGCCCCAGTACGTCACACTTTCCCTTTAACAGCAGAATCGTGTGGAATATCTAATACCTTTCAGGAGAAATGTTTGAATTGAAATAACGTGACTTCCGGTTGCATCAGAAGTTCGTATATAGTTAATCAAAGCTTCCTTTCCCTAAGGTTTCCATATCTGGTCGAGGAGACCAGATATGGAAACCTTAGATATGGAAACTCTTTCATCTATTTAATTCTGTTCTCAAGATTAAGGAAAGACCGATAGACGGACGACAGTAGGAATTTATTGGTCTACAATTTTTTAAAATTGCAGCCCAACAAAATACTAATTGACATGAAACACTGCCAAAACCATAAACAAGTTTGAACAGTTGATCTGTAGATATGCATCCTGAAACTGATTAACTAAGTTAGTCTAATCTAGCCAAACCAATGTCAATAATTTACAAATACTTATATGATGTAGCAATGAAATGCAAGATTTTTATATTATATTTTTTGAAATATTTAATAATTCGCAGGATGTTAAATAGGCTATTAATGCTGAAACATAACATTACTAATAATGAATTTGATCCATTTATTAGGAAAAACACTGTTAAAGTAGTTTTTATTATTTTTTGAAAGCATGGAATCCGTATTAACGAAAATTATATTTGAAACTATTCAATTTATTAAACTAACATAATTTTAATAATTATTGACAATTTGCTTAAATTATTTATAATTTATAGGTTATACATAGAATTATGTAAATATAGTGTTATACAAACCTGTACATAATTCTTCTATCTTGGTATAATGAGTTTGTAGACAATCATTCACCCAGTTTAGCATCTCATGCCTGCTCAAATTATCAGCAGTTGAGCTAGTTGAATAGACATTAACACAAAGCGCTCCTTCTGTCATCTTTACTTACACTATAAAAAAATATACATATATATATATTTACAAAATAAATAAATTACAGAAGTAAACTAAAAGTAAAATTAAAATGATGTCTGACGGCAATCAAAAATTACCACTTTTTTAACTTTGTCAAGTTTTTACAAAATAATTTATGTAATTAGACAGCTGTAAAAGACTTTTTAAATTTGCTACATATAGCTGAATATACAGAAAACAATCATTGTTTCACAGACATATACTGTATTGAAGTACATCATAATGAAAACCACCAACTTCGAGAAATTCCAGAAAAATCCCGAGATTGTAAAATTCGTTGCGCTGTTACGAATCGTTATTTAAACCGAGGACAGTAAACGGTTTATTTATATTTCCAGTGGCCCACCAGTCTCCGTTCCCTGAACACTGGGAATTAGGACGGGCTGGCCACGTAGAGTTTACCGGATTTTCTTCACGTCTGTAGGGGCCAGTTTCCCTTAAAAAGACCTCCCAGAAGGCATCCCCCTAGTCAGATCGCACAAGTGTTGATTTTCCATAACTATACAAACATGAATCTATATTTCTGTTGTAATATTTAATATAGAAACAACAACCAGTCTATTTAAATATAGTTTGTGTCTGTGGTAATATATTTATTTTTGAAAACAATTGTTATTAGTAGAGGAAAAAGTGGTATTATGGAACCCCTCAATTTCAAACTGATAATAAAGGCGAACTGTAACGGATTGTGGCTGAACTGCACTAGACAGACATCCATAGCAAGGAGAAAACCCATTTCACTTCAGTTAAACGATTGTCCTTAGTGAAACAGCATATTCGTGTTTTTTGAAATTCCAAACTTTTGAATGGTAAGTGAATTTAATTATTTCTAAAATATAAATCGTGTAGTTGTAGGTTCACTGGTGCATGTATTCCGTTCCAGAGACTTAGGGGTACATATTAATCTGTATGATGTTCACGTTTTTTAAATTTTGGTCTTGACAGACATAAGTTAATTCAAGGTGGCAATGCGTGAAATACGGACCCCATTGGTGCTTTTAATATGGAACCCAATTTCTCTGGGAACCCAACTCCTCCGAACTCTCTTTGCAAGCAGACATTTGTCCGGAGCAATTTGTGAAAAAGACACTAGGTAGAAAGCCAATTTCTCCTGAGAATATCGAAAAAGAGCTGCTGGAATATATCAATATATTGTTGATGGAAGTCATATTTTTCTATTATGAAAGCATTTTTTTCGATAAAATACATTGGAATAAATAATTTTGTGATTATTTAACATTTTTTGTACTTTCTATTTGTTTTTGGCTGCATTAAAGCATTTTTTGAAAACATACAGTAAGGTTCCATATTACTACCCGGTTTTCCCTAAGCCTACTTTCTGACTTTTTGTACAAAAGCCTTCAAAAACCATACTTATAGTTACACTAGCAAAAAATCCAATTAGGAACATTTAGTTTAATAGTTACCAGTATTTTTCGCACAAAAAACTGTGGGTGTAGTTATGATTCCTTGTTTACAATTCACTATAATGTAATTGGGGTTCCATAATACCTCCTTTTCCTCTACCGTTTTTCAAGAAGATAACCCGTCCCACTGTATACTCCGTCTTACGGAACAGCCGTTGGAACATGAAACTTATTGGTATGCAGTTTAGAAAGTTTTACTTCAGACAATAAAACGTTGTTTTACGATTACAATTTATTGAAAATTTCATAATAAAATGAAAAAAAAATACGAAGACGAACACCCTACATTTCATTTTTGTGTGTCAAAAATAAAAACAAACTTTTAAAAATGATATAGCTTAATTTCTGTTTTATTTAACAAATATGTAATGATAAACGCTAAAATAAATTCAGAAAAAATTAAATAGAAAATAATTTGAAGGCGACAAATGCCAGAATCAATTGCTTAGCTATTCGTCATGGAGAACTTTCTTCGATGTAGAAAGCTTAGCTCAGATACGCGTTTGCTAGGAAGAGCGAAAGCAAAATGCAATACGACCTTCCTTGTTATACTTCTTTTAATATTTCACTCTAACTATTCCTTTCACACCTACATGTTATTAATTAATACTTTTAAATTGTCATCTTTGTCACGAATCAAAGCTTGTTACAAAACTGTAACAAGTTTTTCATCTGCCTTATACACCATTTTATTTTTAGGTACCTTAATTTATGGGGAAATAATAAAATAATTGTTTGAAAATAATTTTTGCGTACGCAAGAAATATACAAGATAATTCACATGTATTTATAAAAGAAAATATTGTTACAGTATATTTGAAAAATTTCTTCAGTTCTACTTTAGGGTACTCTTCGTCCTGGGCCCTATGTCTGTGCATCTGTTTAGTTACGGCACTATTGTTATACACATACTTCTCAAAATTAAATCGCAACACCACGAGGATATTTCAGAACCGTTAGGGGGTGACAAAGATATGAAAATTATTAAGTTTGCATCGGGTCATGTAGTACCCAGTTTCGGGCTATAAAGAGCAGTCGGCTCGGACCGTACAGTACATGCTATCAATGACGGTTCACGGCAGCTAAACATTCGAAGAAGCACAGAAAATGCGTCGGAGAAGACAGCGAGCTGATTATCACAAGTTAACGGATGGGGGAACGAGACGGTATCCTGAAGCTGCGCGATCTCAGTTTGTCAATATGCGCAGATTCCACGCGTGTTGTGCACGACACCACGCGAGTACCATCCAGAGATTGCCGCAGGAACATCCGAGAATACGCCGAAGAAAGAATGGATCGCAGCTGTCCACGACAGAGCGCACAAACCGGCAGATTCGCCGAATGGCCGTTCAGGATCCGTTCGCCACGACGCATGACATCTGAAGCCGCCTGTCGCCGTCAATGAGTGCATCTGTGTCCACCCAAGCCATTCGCAACAGGTTGCATTAAGTCGGGCTGCATGCACAGCAACCAGCAACGGGGATGCCATTAACCACTCAACACATGGCTGCACTCCTGGTGTGGTGTCATTGTCATCATCCCAACTGCGCCACTGAATGGCATTGGATATTGTTTACAGATGAATCCCACTTCTGTCTATGGAATGATGGCCGTGGACGGGTGTGGTGGTATTCCGGGAAACGCTACGTGCCAACCTTTTCTCCGAGCATAACATAGGCCCCACACCGGACATTGTGGTTTGGGGACGCATCGTATTCGATCAGAAGTACACATTTCCGGTACTCTGACTGTGGACCAGTATGTCACACGAATTGTGAGGCCTGTGTTTGGCCACTGGTGGGCCTGGTGGTGTTCTAGCAAGACAGTAGCGAGGTTGCGGCCGAAGTTTTCATCTCTAAAACACGTGAACGTCGAGAGCCGCTATCTTGTAAGTGGCGCTTGACGTTCAACGTTCACGTTTTAGAGATGAAAACTTCGGCCGCAACTTCGCTAATGGCCTGTCGCACTGTTCAGACTTCACATCCTTCCGACGTATCTTTCTTCTATCGAACATCTAAGGGACCTCGTCCGAGTATTTCTCGTCGTATAGCGCCTTGTATAGCTTCCCGAGGAAGCCATATTCGTTACTGAATGAACAGCTGGCTGTCGCATATTTTTGTCTTGTTCTTTTAATCAGTTGCATATCTGTCATCTTTATCGGACCTTCAATGTACATGTGGCTATGCGCATTCCTTCGTGGTGTTACACTCCTCAAAAGTGAAATCGTAAGAGAAAATTTTTGTTTGTAGCACTGTTATACCTTTTAACTGTGAGGCATTTATGGGAGACGTATATGTTTAGATTCGCAGTAGTTGAATTTTTTAATTTTTCTTCAGGAAATTTTTTCTTTTTATTTATATTAATATTTTTTCTACGAACTTGCATAATATTTAAAAAACAAAGAATGCTTTATTATCTGTTCTTTATGCATTTGAAGACTGTACGAGCCTGTGTAACCAAACTTTCCAAAAATTATACTCTTATCCAGGTCAAGGATTACCTTACATTCGGAAAAAGAAAGCTTACTTCACCAAACATTTGCAGATGTAAGCTGATATTGGTTTAAATTAAAATAATAAACGAGGATCGCATTTTGCCTTAAAACTTTATACTGTATTAATTAAGAAATAAAATTACTGTTTCCAGAAGCCAGTGTGGTACGAAGATTCGCTGAATTTGAATATATTTATTAACATTTGTATACAGTTTTTAAAATAATATTTTTAATATAAAAATGATTTCCACGATGTATAGTTAAAGAAAAAAGTTGCAATGACGTCATCTTTGNCAATTCTGCCATGTTAGTCTGTTTATGCCGACGTGTGATGCGCAACCTGTCGACCTTTTCTCTTTTTCTTTTTGCATGTACGATCATACACATCTCCAATATCCAATAGAACTAAGTCATCTGTACCTGTTCTTTCTTAATTTAGGGTTACTTACCTTATTCCTACGCAAGTCCCTAGTCCCTAACTGTAACTGATTTAGAACCGGCATGCACGTTATTCTTCGCATTGTAAAATGACATTGCGCATGCATCAGGAACTTCTGTTCAAACAAACCTGACCTGCCGTCCGTGTCAGCAATTTTGAAAAGATGGCAACACTACTCACAGAAGTACATGTTCTGCTCAGCTACAAAAAAAAAATTAGAGGGAATGTTACATTCAAGTGATTTCAGTTGAGATACATCAGGTACAGTACATTGGTTTCATAAGAAAATGTACTAAATCTTATATTCAAAGGCAGTAGTAGTCTCTCGAGCATATCTGACCAAAACATGTAATTTTTGTTTGGATAGTATTTCTTCAAGAATGGTCTAGTCATTTCTTGATGCATTCTGTACTATATTCTTCCATCTTAATGCAAAGTTTAGATGATGCAATGAAAATTCAAGGCTTACAGGATATCCACACCAAAATCACTGTTGAACCATTTTGCATGACATTTGAACTTCATTTCTAGCATAATGGCCTTTACTTCTTCACAGCAAAAATTTATGGAACCATCCAGTCCAAAATAAAAGTCATTACCCGTAGCAACATACAG